GCGTAACGGTCCGAGTTGCCACACCTCACATCAGTTAACCAAGTAAAAAGGTAGTGAGGTGAAGGATGAAGATAAGTGAATGCAGTCAAAAGAAATATAAAGTACGAGAAGAAAGGAAAGAGGAGTGACAAAATGGTGAGATTCGGTATAGCGTTGTTAAGATGAGGATAATGTGTGTATACATCTGCGCCACTGACTTCGGTTCTGAGCCATATCACCTAGGGTCTCCAACCACTGGTTCCTCTTGTCCCGTGGACCCCAACCACCTAGTCTGCATCGTCCTACATGGCTTAAACCAACAGTCAGAGACTTCATACATTGGTGCCATGTTTTAGTCTGGCCACCTCGGGCCTTTTTCCAGCCTGAACCCACCTCAGCCAACATTGTGTGACGAGGCAATCGGTGACTAGGCATACGTAGTACGTGTCCCAACCATCTCAGTCGATGAAGGTTCACAACCTCGTCGACTGACTTACCTCTTCTCCCTAAAACTCTACACCTAACTTCTGCATTACTCACATGGTGACACCACGGAATACGTCCTATACTACGAAGGCAACGGTGGTCAAACACCTGAAACCTTTTCATGTCTTCCACTTTCAATGGCCATGTTTCACAGCCATACAGTAGAACAGAGCGGACTGCTGTGCAGTACACGCGACCCTTAATAGACAAACGAATATCACGGCGGCGCCATAGGTGGCGCAAATTGGCAAAAGCCAATCGAGCCTTTTGTATCCGTGCAGAAATCTCATCGGCAACTAACCCACCGGGTTGATCCTACTTCCCAGGTAAGTGAAGTGGTCAACACACTCAACCACTTCACTCTCTATTGTTAACCGCGGTACCGCTGAAGACCAGTCCTGGAGCAAAAATTTGCATTTGGGTGGTGAAAATCGCATCCCAAACATTCTCAAATTCCCACTCAAAGTGTTCAGAAGACTCTGCATCTTGTCAGCGTCTTCACCTAACAGGACTATGTCATCTGCATATTCTAGATCTAAGGAAAATTCACCTGTGATCGGTCAACGTCTTTGTAATTAGGTGACGAGAGGGAAACCTCCATAAGAATATCTATGATAAAATTAAATAAGAATGGGGATAGTGGGCATCCTTGACGGACACCACTTGATGAGTATAGCTCCCTGGACAACTCACCATAGGCTCTAACATGCCCACAAGTGTTCGAGTAGAGAGCTTTCAATAAGGTGATGTACTTACTAGGCACGCCTTTCAGTGACACACTGCCATAAGACTTCTCGATCAACGGAGTCAAATGCCGCCTTCAGGTCGAGAAATACAGCTATTGTCGGGCGTCTGTAAGCATGCCTATGTTCCAGGACCTGGCGCAGTGTGAATATTTGGTCGATACATCCACGGCCAGGTCTAAAGCCTGCCTGGTTTTCTCGGGCTTGCTGTTCCCGAGCTCCACTCAGGCGTCGGAGAATTATAGAACTTAGGATCTTAGACACTATGTTTGTCAGGCTGATTCCTCTGTGGTTATCACAAGAGGACTTCTCGCCTTTCTTGAAGACTGGGATGATGAGTGACTTAGACCAGTCGGAGGGGATCGTATTTGATTCCCATATACTGGCTAACACTTCCGTTAGCCTGACTAAGAGAACTCTACCACCATTCTTGTATACCTCAGCAGGTAGTCCGTCTGGTCCTGCTGCCCTTCCCGTTTCAGGCTACCTACCGCTTTCTCAACTTCTTCTAGTGTTGGGGGACCTGTCTCTATGTCCCATTCAGGGTCCGACTGGATAGCGGGCAGCGCAATGGTGGCTGGAGGCCAGTTAAACTGTTCCTCAAAGTGTTCTGCCCATCGTCCCAGTCGCCTTCCCTGCGAGTGAATCGCCGATCCGTCCTTCTCCGCTATAACCTCACTAACTGTTGTTGACCATTTCCCCCCAGTCTCCTTAATAAGTCTAAATAACTGTCTACTGTTACCGATCGCCGCTGCCTTTTCCATCTCTTTAGCCTTTGCTGCCCACCACTGTTCACGATCGTTGCGCAGACTTTTCGTCAGTTTATTTTTAAGTTGCGCTCGCTCTTCATTGTACTCAGAGCCTGCAGGGATGCATTCACGTGCATCCATTAGTTTGGAAGAAGCTGCTGATATCCACTGGCTCTTTTTAGCCATTATCTTGGAGTCGGCTACAGTCTCCAGTGCTGCTTTTACAGTAGACTGAAGATGGCACCAAGCTTCTTCTGGATGAGTGACAGTCTTTTGTTCCGATAACTGCCTAGCCAACTTCTCACTGAACACGGCTTTGGTGTTTTCGTTGTCCAGCAGAACTCGTAGTGGTTTTGTTGCCAAATTTTTTCTACGTCCATTGAGACGCAGGCATATACGTGCTCGGACCAACGCATGATCGCTGTCCAAACACGTACTCCAGAAGGAGCGGCAGTCTTCCACCGATCCTCTCCAGCGATGACTAATAGCAATGTGGTCTATCTGTGTCCATCGCTGAGTCGAGCTCGGTGGACGCCAGGTCAGACAGTGCCTTTCTTTATGTCTGAAATTTGTGCTGGCTAAAAATAGGCGGTTATCTGAGCATAGTTGTAATAGGCGATCACCGTTATCTGTACGTTCAGCTGGGATTCCGAAAGTGCCACCTAAGTGCCTTTCTGCCTCACTCAGTCTACCCACCTGTGCGTTGAGGTCACCTGCAACAACCACTACGTCCGAACGTTTGGCTTTCGAGAGGAGGTTAGACAGTTTATGGTAGAACTCGTCCTTCACTTCATCCGAACTACAGTCAGTGGGTGCGTAAGCAGAGATTACAAAGAGACAACGGCGAGTCTCACTATTCCTTTTAGTTCTCACTGTGCCGTTCAGCCTCATAGCGCAGAGGCGACTATCAACTGGGATCCAGTCTAGTAGTGAGTTTTCTGCCCTGGTGCTTAATGCTATACCTACACCTGCAAGACCACGAGAGCTAGCTATCGAATCTCCAGAAACTCGAAGGGTGAATTTTGCAGATTCACCAGATTGGTCAGGAGAGGTCAGGTGAATAACCACACTTGGGTCCTGTATGCGTGTCTCACAAACACAGCACACATCCATGCCCGAGTTGCTAGAGTCTTTGCCAACGAAGCCTGTTGGCCAATTTGACGGAGGGTGCGGACATTGAAGGCTCCAATATGTAATTTGGAGCGTGGTTTAAGGAGACCAGGGATGCTGTTCTGTGGACTCAGATCGTTGTCGAAGGCTGCAGAGGTAGGAGAAATTGAAGATGATGCAGCATCATTAATTAAGAGACGTGAAGGAAGATTAGAAGGTAATGATGGAGGAGGAGGATAGCAGTCAGAAGAAACTTGGGTGCTGACAGAGTTGTGAGGGCGGTTGACACTTCCCGGCTGCCCACACCGTGGAAGGCTATTTCTTCTTAAGGTACCTGAAAGAGATTTGTGTGACCGCAGAGCCCATCGGACATCTGCTTGAGGCCTGTCACACCCAGCCTTTTGAGTATGATTATTTTGAATTTTTGTATTTTTGGGGCCGGATGGTCGAAAGGAAACGACAAGTGAACCAACACCGCCGGCCCGGCAGACCGTGGGGCGTGGTGGAGTGTGTTATTTTTGGGGCCGACCTTTTCTAACCCCCCCTTCCACTGAGAAGGCAGCATCAGCATGGCACTGCTGGTCATCCAAGGGAAACACCTTACTGCTGTCACACCCCATCCAGCTAGCAGCAGTACGACTTCGCCCTCAGACCCCCATCATAGTGTAGCAATTTACACTATAACGGTAACTGCTTTTCGTCTAACCACTACCCAACAGACCTTTCTGGTATGGTAGGACCTCGAGGGAACAAGCGTTCCACCAGCATAGCTCGTTGGGTCATTGTGATATGCAAGCCTGACCACCACGTCAAGGCAGCAGCTATCGGTTGGGCTAAACAGCAGCATGGGGATATATTTTGAAACTGGCTCAACGACTGGGAATCTGGTGCATAGATCAATGAGATACGACATATTTCTTGTAGTGAAAAACCTGCATTAGTTTTCAATAATGCCTGAGAACTGAAGGTAAATCAAGTAAAGGTTTAAGTATACACTGGCTAAAGTGGTCTGTACTTATATTACAGTAGGAATAAGGTGGAAGTGATTCGACGAAATCCAATCCAAGTTACTTCCTGGACCTAGAAAACCTTAGATTTCTCAGAGCTGAGGTTTATTGGAAGAACCACTCACTTTGCAATAAGTGTATCAAAACACTGTCACCCACTGAGGTCTGAGCAACCAGATAGTATCACTAGCTTTTACACAACAGAGGTGGCTCAATGAGTAGTGCACAAATCTTGAAGTAGTTGAGTTGCACAGGTTTTTCAACGCTGGCTCATATAAAGCTCTCGTCTGATTCTCAGGTAGATAAACAGTTTAAAACCAATCTCCAATATTCAGACATAGTCAACTCCAATAATTTTCTAAAACCTACTTAAACCATTATTCTGACGTTTCTTTTTTTCTTCAGCCTTTTGATTAAAACCACCATTGTTAATTTCATCATGGCGATTCAGACTGACGCACTACAACATAAACCTACCGTCGATACCTAGTCTTATTTAATAGTGACTTCGTGAAGACCTGGAAAGGGAATTCGGTGACACTCAATGAATCAGCCACAGAATTTTCGGTTTTTCATTGCATTCATACAATAACTATTCAATCCATAACTGATGAGAGCCACATAATCATACATAACCACTAACAATTAGAACTGGTCTAGAATATCTATTAAGGCAGAAACTCAGGGAAGTGAGTCAAATAAAGAGTCGTAGATGTATTCGAGGGATCGTAAAAATACTGCATTCTCTACGTCGCCTCAGTTTATCTTAGAATATTTACACGTTCGCCGCTAACCTTCATTAGTATTCGTCCCAAAATGAAATTAAACGAAACAAAATAACTTTTGGCTAGTCAAACCAACGATTTATGAAACAGAACTGCAATTATGCACTAATGTAATTTTGTTACTTGATATGACACCAATTACTAATCTTCCACAGGTTCCGAAAATTCTATGGGTTCTTCTGTTAACACTGAATAAAGATGCCCAAAAACGACTATAGCAATAAATACTAAAGCTATAAAGGAGATGGCCCTCCGATGTTCATCTCTCATTTCAATGGCCGTCATCGTCAACTCAGGGTCAGCTCGCTTCTCCCATTCTTCCTTTAGGTTCCGGTTGTATTTTTTGACATAGGATGCTTTAAAACTATCCACGCTTTGATCCTTTAAAGCATCAATAGTATGTCCTCCTTCATAGAAATGGTTAACTACGTCTCTTCTTGGTTGTATTAGGCCACGATCATACTCATTGCGTTTAACCGGGTTCCCCAAAACTTCATAAGCTCTTATCAATTCATGAAACTTTTCTCTGGCGCAAGGGTCACCTGTCACATCAGGATGATATATTTTTGACAGCCGATAGAAAGCTTCTTTGATTTCCTGGTGAGTTGCATCTCTTGGAAGTTCAAAAACATTGTACAACGAGTGAACCTTTGACGATAAGCGAGCTGTTGTCCTGATACTAACAGAACTAAGGATAAATGGTACCGCTTTTTTCGCTAAGTAAAACTAATTTAGACAATAGCAAACTAAACAAAAGGAACGTTACCATTGTAATTGCCCGCTACTTAAACAGTAACCAATATCTTTCTATGAGCTCCAATTTCCAATGCCTTTTTGCGAGTTAGTATAAACTAGTTGATCTCTTCGTGCTCGTTTCTAGGTCTTGCGGAAGGGTTCCAGGTCTTTGGTGGGTTAAGATACAGTAGGTATATCCACTCGCTTGCTACAGCTCTGGTTAGTCCGACAGGCAGTTAAGTGTTGATTACATTTGTAGGGATTGTGTGGTTCTTTCAAGGACTATGGTGCAGATGGGTTTTTCAAGCGTTGTGTCTACATACAACTTCTGGGACCGGTTGTAAGAAGAAGGTAGTAAGGATGAACACATGTCCAATTAAAATGAGGCAGATGTGAGAAAAACAGGTTGAAAATAAGCAGAACGAAAGTAATGGAGAAACCTGGGTAGATTCAGAGGAGAAGAAAGCGATAGGGCGAACCTTGATAAACAGAGTGAGACTAAAGTCCCGGAGGGAAGAGAAAGAGCAGGTGAGATTTTATGACGTATTGTGGGAATAGAAATAGTGTAATTGGTGGGGGTATGGTAAATGGAGGAGACGTCTAACAGGTAAGTTTGAGATTAATCCAATTTTGCGACGACAGTGAAGGTACAAAATGATTCGGTCTGGGGTTGAACATACTAGATTGCTCGGAATTAGCTGGCTGTGTCAACCTACTAGGTATCCCAACTACGCGGGGACACAAGCTGTGCGTCTCCGCATTACCCCGCAGCCTTTTTTGAAATCTGTCGACAGACGGAGAGGCAGAGATCTCGGCATGCAAAGCGTTCTGGCGACCACAAACTCTCAGAGAGAAGAAGTGTAGGCGCGCTCGGATTTTCGCTCTTTCATGGGCGATCCTCCTCGGGATGCCACTAGGACTCCCACAATGGCTGTTCGGATGGCTTGGATTGCCTAGTTTTCGGTATGTCCGTATCAATGCGTCACGTAACCTACGGTAGCTAAGATAGTAAATCCTCATTTCTTTAAATCTTTCCTTGTAGGGTATATCCGCATTCCTACAGCACCCTTCTCTGCCAGTCACTGCGCTTTCTCCAGGGGGTTCACATTACTCTTCGGGTATGGTGGTACCATGGCGTCATGGACCTCTGAGTGAGATTATATGTCGGTCTTTTGAAGGTCCAGAAAAAGGTCCAGGGTGAGGGCTTCCAGCGTTCTGCAGGTGAAGTGCAGTGCTTGGTAGGTTCTGGAGCCATCTCCCGGATAGTTTGAGCATGCGTCCAGACTGTCAGTCAGCATTAGTCCCAGGTCTTTCTCCACAATCGAGTTTGAAAGTTGCCAACCACAGTGAGAGCTAGATGCTGTTCGTGAGTCGGAAGTGCGGAAAAATATGGTTTGGCATTCATCCAGGTTAAATGCTGGTCCACTGCTATTCACTCGCTCTGCAAGCAATCTGAGATCACTTGTTTGTTTCCGTGTGTCTCAGCTTGCCATGATTTAACATTGTCAGCGTAAAATGGAATCAGGGAGATGAGGTGAAGGAAAAGCAGCGGACTTGAAGTCGCCCAATGTGACGCACCCCATGACGATGTCTTCCAAGTCGAATAAAGCCTATCGACTTTTATAAAGAATTCTCTGCCGTCTAAATAGCCCCATAACCAAGGGAGCACTTGACCGTTGACACCTAACCCCGAGATTTTGCCCATGGGAGTGGTGTGTGGGACTGCGTCAAAAGCCTTTGCAAATTCCAAGGGGATCTTGTGGAAAGGGACCCGGAGGCCCCAGAATGCCCTCCAGTTATCATCGGCTTTCAGGGGCTTTGAGGCGTCGGACCTGCCGTTTCAGAAACCGTGTGAAGCGTCAATTCGTGCCTCCTTTTACCCGAGCAGTCTCTGACATGGTCGTCTACCCGACCTTCCATTACTTTCGACCGCACTGGTGGTTGGTAGCATTTCAGGCTCTGCCTGTCTCCTCCATTGAAGACGGGAAGGAAAATACAGCGTTCCCACCCTCATGGATGCATATGCCTGCCTAAGGAATGTTGAAACAGATCACGGAAGGGAACACATGAGGCGCCACACACTGCTTCAACACTAGGACCGAATGTCATAGCATCCCCGTAGTTTTCCCCAATGGAGCTTTGGCAGCTTTTCTCGAACCAAAGCAGGGGCTACCTTTGTTCCATGCAACTCTCCTGCATTCAGTGGCGCTGAGAGTTGGTCGGGCATTTGGTAACTTTGGCTGCATGACGGCATGTATAGTGGTGTGTCAAATGTAACACCAAACGCTTTGCAGTGTCCAGTCCAGAGACGCCCTCTTTGTTCGGACCTCTCACAACGCAAGCTTCCGGGCTTGTAAATTTTCTCTCCTTCTTGAAATGACATGGGTTTTTGAGGTTCACTCTCAGCTTCTGGGTAAGGTTCATCTGGAACGGCTTCCTGTTCCTCCTCAATTCCTTATGCGCTATGACCTGACCCTTTTCTGGAGGTCCCTAGCAAAGCATGCTCTGTCGCACCTTCTGTTTGCGAACAATGCTGGTGCCTGGTCTTCGTAGCGCCCTTGACCTAGGGCTCAGTTACTCCAACAATATCACATTCTCCCAACACGTTGCGACTCGGACACTTAAATCCAGTGTCCTACTAAGCTGTATAATTCGTAATTTTCGTAACCATGAAGCTAAGTTATTTGCATACAAAGCCTGCGTTCGGCTTCTGTTCGAACGGTGTTCATTTATTTTAGGGAGGGTCCGTATAATCGACAAGTTTGGGACTGGAGGTATCCAGAGTTATTTCATATCCAGACTTCTCGGTTGCGAAAGTGATCAGAATCAAAGGTTTCGATGTGTGTCCCACAGCCTATGACCACCTTAGATGAGAAGTCTTGGGGTGGATCTCATATTTTTTCTGCAAGATTTTAAGTAAGGTGTACTTTACAGCTGGTGAAGAAATCCATTACACACCAGAAGGCTGCTGCAGGCCACGTAATCAAGCCTGGAGTGTTGAAACGAAAGCTTTTGAAGTGTTTCTTTGAATTAAGTTTTTCCATTTAATTACGATATCCCTTTTTTAGAGTAGTTATATTGTGTCTGGATACTGTTGCTCCCGTGGAAACAGTGAAACTACACAGCCACTTAAAATACATTCCACCCGTATACCGCCAAATTCTCGGGCAGCTTTTGAATCTGTACCGATCCACCAGGGATTTCTTCTCTCTACGTGTAATCCACAGCACCCTGGAACCGGCCGAAAGCCTTCGTGCACAAGAAGCCGGGAATAAGGGGTCACAAGCCCCTAGAACTAGCTTCAGGGACTACAGTCTAACACCACTTCCGAAGAAATGCCTTTAAAAAGGAATGAGATACAGTACTTGCTCCATAACGAGATAGTCCACAACAACACTGTAATCGGTTATTGGAAGGTACAATCAATAACCGAATAATTCCTGGTTTCGAACTGAGCCTGCTTCAACACATCTCTTATATGCCATGAATAACGGTATCAAATGCACAGCTTAACATTGTTCATAGTAGTCATTTCTCATTACCAAAATGATCAAACCTGTGAACTGGTTTGTTTTCGTTTAACCTATATTGTATGAAATATTTATTATTATTGCTATTATTATCGACACAGTCATGATTTGTGAACAATTTAGCGGCTGGGTTGGGACTTTCAGCTGAGAACCCCTTATTCCTGTCGGCAGTATGCCATTTTCCAGTGGCCATTTTGCAGTTGCGGTATTTGATAGCAGAAGCAAAGCCAAAGCCATTGGAGACCTAAGGCCTTCAAAAGGAATAGGAATAGACTACCTTGCTTCAATAGCCCTAAGAGACAGTGGACAGGACATTCCGCTGATTCTGTTTAAGTTGGTCACCCCTTCGACAGAAACTGGAACGTGTCCAACTGGGTGAAAAGCCAGCGCGGCAATTCCACACTACAAATCTGGGCTAAGGCTAATATCAGCAACTACTGACTCATCAGTATAACCCCGGTCCTACCGTGGGTTATGGAAAAAGTTGCAAAAAATAGTATGTCTGATTACTTGCAGACAATTTTATTACAAAGCCTCAACACGCCTTTCCAAAAAATATATCATGCACGTATGCCAACAACCTAAAAGCCTTTTGCCCCTGTCGTGGCCATGGGCTAGGTGACACTATGGCTGCTATCCGACATGAACAAAAAGAGGTTTTTTCTTGGTGTGCTGGTACAGTTCTGCAGTTCGACATCAGCAAATGCTGATGAATCTGCGCTGGCGATAGCAACCTTGACTTGGTACTTGAAGTATCTGTATATCTGACACCAGAACTTAGTACTGTCTCCGGCCTTGAATTTTCCTGAACAGGCTGCGTACAGCAAAACTCAGTCACGCAGACTACTAGGATGCATCATCCGTGACATTTATAGTGCCGAATCCAGAGTCCCACCCCACAGAGTAAGCACCCATCCAATCTTATATTACTGTCCGGTTGTCCTAAGTGGCCTTTGTGTAAGCGAAGGGCGAAACATTGAAGGGGCATAACGCCACTCTACATTAAGCGCGCTAGGAGCTGACTGCAGCCTTGACTACCTCTCCGGATGTAACACGCCAGACCTGGAACCTCTCTAGAAGGGGGGGCCTAGAATGAAACCTATATTTTACTATAAATTACTTCGTAAGCAAGTGCACTCTGATGGCCTGGAAATTAAAATAGTCGTAATATCTTTTTACAATGTACGTAATCTCAAACTACTAGCTAAAACTGAGTGCTGCAAGGGCAACTTGCGGAGTAATTTCTTCTTCAGTAATTACTCTCACATCTGCAATAGACTTCCTGAAGGAATACGAGCTGCAAGTTCATCAAGTCTTTTGCTCCGCACCTAATAAGCTGCTAACAGATGATGAGTCTACCACTCGGTTGGCCACTATCTATATGCTCTGGGCTGATGAAAATACGTTAGGACCTCCAAATGTGCGAAGTAAGGCCAGCACCGATCTCAAGTGCTTTTGAACCTAATGGATTTCAACACTTTTGCACAGGGCGTTTGACCACTAT